GCGGCGGCGCGGGCGGCGGTGGCGGCCGCCTACAGCCCCCACAATGCCGCGGGGCGCCGAGGGAGCGCGGCGGCTCCGCGCGTCTCACATGGCGGGGGCGCGGCCCCCTCACGGACTGCGCCTCGCCGGGAGCGGCCGGCTGCCGGGGAAACCCTCCCCGGGTAATCGCTGTTCGATAATCCGCTGAATGCCCCTTCTCAAAAGTCGTTTCGTTAGGAACAAAATAGCTTTCCAGAATAATCCTTATTCAGTAAGGAGGAGAGAGCGCTTCGCCTTGGCAAAGACCTGCTGCGGCGCTCGCAAACTCATAGTGGAGTATTTTATTCCAGCAAGTAACCTGTTCTTTGGCTGAAGTTCATGGGTGGGGTGGTGTTAGACAATCAAAGTTTCCTTAACTGCGGCTGGGTCACTGCCAGGAATCCTTAAATTGGTTATGAAATGTCAATAATCCAGCTCGGCTTCACCTGTTACCTTCAGCCAGCACTCAGAGAAATTGGGTGCCTAAGGACTCACTGCAGAGCTCTGTCCTGCCTGGAAGGGTCTAAATGGGATCGGATGAAGGACAGCACACACAATATTATTAGAATTTACTTGTGTCTGGTCTGCTGCACACAGGTAACAAGGAGAAATTTGCTTCCTCAGACTGACCCAGGATAAATCCACCTGGAAAAGTGATGTGGATAAATAAACAAAGGCTTCTCAGAATCAGAGATTAACAGAACAGGACAGGTTGGAAGGGACCACTGGGGATCAAGCTCCCTGCTCAGGCAGGGTCATCCTAGAGCACATGGCACAGGGTTGTGTCCAGATGGTTCCTGAACATCTCCAGTGAGGGAGACTCCACGACCTTTCCAGAAAATCTGTTCCAGTGTGCAGTCACGTGCACAGTAAATAATTTCTTCCTCAAGTTAAGGTGAAACTTTTTGTACATAATTTTCTACTTTTTGCCTCTTGTTAATGTATAAACTAGAAGATTATGTGTAATAGCTGTAAGGCCTAAATGAATGAATGCTGGTGCTAGCCTATTAGAAACACATTTAATTAGCAACAGAACCTGATCTGTATGAAGTAGATTGGAAATAAGTTATTTTTTTTTACAAAAAGACTATTTTTTAATACCCAAGCCATGGAAAGTGGTTGGAAAATGCCTACAGTCCTTTCAAACTGCTTAGTTAAAATTAATTTTTCATCAAGTGGAGTGAGATACTAGAAGGCAAACCAGTGATTTTGACCTTTATATGTAATCTGCTTTACAAGCAGAAGGAAAATGTGTTCGAAATACATCCGTTTTAGTTTGCTGCACGCTTAAAACATATTTAATATGCAACTGAGTACTTGTCAGTAAATAGTAGTACTAGGGGAAGAATTTACACAAAAATGCTATGATTAATCAGTATTTACATTTGACTTGCCTTTCAGCATGTTCAGCTGCAGAAATAAAAACTGGTCCATCTATTAATATTTCTTTATATTTGGCTACATTCCTTGTACCCAATATGACAGGTTCTTCCCCCCATGCCAGGTGATCTGATGGGGACTGATCTTATAAATATACCTGGGAGTGATTATTTCTTTGCAGGCAAAACAGAGCACCCAATCCTTTAATATCTTATTTTCCCTATGGCATTTCCCGATGGATCTTCAAGGATCTTAGCTGTATTACATACAAACCAGGAGAAACCTGTTTCTCCATATTATACAAACAGAATATCCAGGTCAAAAGGATTATACATATGCATTTTTGTCAGGTAGGAAATGGTTACTTACACAGTTTAGTTGTAGAGGATTGGCCTTTCCTATTCCATTTTTCTGTTGCATCTCTACAAGATTTTTAAAGCCAACGATTTTACCTAAGCCTCCCAATTTCATCACAATCTACGTGCTACAGTGTGCACCTGTTTGTAAATCATGAGGTGACCAGACCCAACCATTAACCCAATTTCCAGAAGTTCCCATAAATAAAGAAGTTTCAATTTGCATTCTTGAGGGCTTTTATGAGGACTAGCATTTTGGCAAAGCAAGCTGATATTGGAGTATCTAAACATGGTTTCAAGGCACTGAGTTTTATGCATGCTTTTTTAAAATTGCCCATATAAAAATCAGATTTTTTCCAAGATTTAAGAATCATCAATATGTATACTATGAAAAGAAAAATTAATCTGGAATATAACTTCTGGATAATGTTAAATTACTTTTCTGAAAAACTAAAACATTTGAGTTTGGTTATGTTTTGATTTGGGTTATGAGTACTCTCTAAAAATACACCATTTTTGTTATGCTCTTTCTGAGCAGATTTACTCTTCTGACAGTACAGGCTCAGAGGGTACCTCTGGCACACAAACTATAGTACAGGCACAACATGTTGGGCACAGGAGCTGGAGACAGAAGAGACAGAAATGTTATTCCCCAGGCTGCTTGCAAACTTAAGATGCATCTGTTAAATTTGCAGAGTCCCTCTGGATAAGCATCTCCTGTCTGACACAGGGACGACATGATGGATATCAGAGCTGCACTCGTGTACCAAAGCTACCCAGTCCATAGCATTTGGATTTTTTTTAATGTTTGTTTGCCTAATTGTTGCCCCAAGTGGGCAGCTGGGATATTTTTAGGACAGCAGCAGCAGAAGAGAACAATAATCAGTGTGGAGCTGTGTATGTTTTATCAGAGTTCATTCCCAGGGAGTTGTGTTTTGCTGATCTCTGCGCTCTCCATCTGAAAGCAGAGGAAGGTCTCATGAGAGACTCCCTTTTAGGGGTTTGGGGCTTAACTTTCTCCCCAGGTAGCAGTAACACTGATATCTTACTTTTCACAAAATCTTTATGCCTCTAGTTTTTTAAAGAAAAAATATTAAAAGAGATTACAGATCAGGGCATGAAGGGCTTTATTAGTTTAAAGGGTTGTAAATTTGCATCCCAAGAATGTGTTTTATTCTTTTTCCATTGTTCATAATCTAAACAGATTCACTGTCCAAATTGAGGATTTATCAATCCTTTCCTTACCTTGCTTAGGGTCTTTACAAGGCATAGATTTTGCTCATCTTCCCAAACAGAAGAAATGTCTTACTGCTTCCCTTTTCAGCTTTCTGATCCAATGAAGTGCAGATGCAGCGGAGTTCTCAGGTTCTTTGGGAGTGCCTAGTGTTACTCCATCTCAGGTGCAGGATCTGACATTTCATTGTTAAATTTCGTCCCATTAATCACTGCCCAGTGTTCCAATCTATCTAGATTCTTCTCTAAAACCTCCTACAGAGTCAACAGCACCTCCCATTTTGGTGTCACCAGCAGACCTGTTAATGGTGTGCTCAGCTCCTGCATCCAGGTTGTTGATCAATACATTGAACAGAACTGGCTCTAGACGTGAGCCCTGAGAAACTTCCCTGCTCACCAGCCAGATGTGGCCCCTTTCACTGCAACCCTTTGAGCTCTGCCTGCCCTTCAGCCAGTCCTTCACCCAGTACATCATGAACCTGCTCATCCCACTGTCAGACAACTTGTCCAGAAGGGTGCTGTGAGAGACAGTATCAAAAGCCTCACTAAAATCCAGAAAAACTACATCCAGCTCCTTCCCCCTTCATCCAGCAGGCAGCGACCTTAGCACAGAAGCAGATCAAATTAGTTAATCAGAACTTTCCTTTTGAGAACCCATACTGACTGTGTCTGATGACTGCATTATTCTTTAAATGCTTTTTAGTAGTTCACAGTATAACCTTCTTCATTTTTCCACTTAACATTTTATGAATTAACTTCCAGCTAAGGAAGTTTTGTTTGAAATTATTTGTGTATTAGTTTGCTGAACCTTTTATTATTTTAATTAAGTTTTTGCATCTTCTTATCTGTTTGGAGGAGTAGCTTTAACTTTTGCTGAATTAGATCACAGTTATCCAAACTTACCAGTATAGCAATAATAAATTGCTAAGTTGACTCCTTGACATCTTCATGACAATCAAAAGTAGAATGGACTCAAAAACTACCCATATGGCAGCAGCTAAATCTTGACAAGCACATCTCAGAGGGCAAACAGGAATGTCTCACAGAGATGTGGAACATCAAATATCCCATAATCAGGCAGCAGCCAGCTGGTGGGGTTAGCTACTTCATGTGCAGCTAGAATACAGTTATTTTTAACAAGTGGCACAAAGACTTCAGGATACATGTACAGAAGAGAATAAGGTTTGTAGAAACTCCTACAGAGACCTACAACAGCAAATACACTTTTTAATCACATGCCTGGTAAAGAGATAAGATGTTGGGGGATTGCAAGCAAATTTGCCACAATATTTTTTATCATTTCATTATCTATCACTGGATAGATAATATTCAGGCTGTATTTCACTGAAAAAAAATTACATGACCTCTTGCTATTTTCCCATCATGGTGCTTACCTTACCCTAGGATGGATGGGCTCTGCTGGAGAAAGCACCAGGTGGCTGCTTCCTTTGTCGCAGCAAGCGCGAGGTCAGTGAGGTGGGATCACAAGACAGGGGTTACAAGGCTAAGGGTCATTGCTGCCTGGGAGAACTGACAAGACCAGGAAAATCATGAAGCTAAATCCTTTTTCATGTTCTTCTTTCTGTAGTTTCTTTCTGTTTGATGTGCAAAAGGCATTCCAGTTTGTAGGGCTGAGGACTCAGAGCTGATGGCTGAGCAAGTGGGAACATTGTGTGAGATGTTGAAAGAGATAACTCTGGAGCAGCAGGTACTCACAATCTGTCCAGGCTCTGCCTCAGCTTCCTACTGTAAGATGTAAATAGTTCCACCCTCATAATCCTCCAGGATACTGTGGAGATACTTTGTGAAGCAACCTATGATGAGCACCACAGAGGAGCTCATCAGGGAACAGTTCTACATGGAAAGCAGAATTTGTGAGTAAATCAGGCCTGGGGCTGCACAATGAATAACAACACCAAAATAGTACTGACTAACTGCTCATTAACTGAGCACTGCCTATACTGTGCCTTGTGGGAATTCCTGCAGTGTCGATCT